ATAATACTGTAAGATCCAGCCAGAGCAATTAGGCAAGAAAAATAAATGCAATTTATCCAAATTGAAAAAGAAGAAGTAAAATAGTCTGTTGCAGATGGCAAGATACCATGTATACAAAAAGCCTAGAAATGCAACCAAAAACTATTAGAACTAATAAAAGAATTCAGTAAAGTTGCAGGATACAAAATCAAAGTGCAAAAATCATTTGTATTTCTATACACTAACAATAAAGCACCAGAAAATGAAATCAAGAAAACAATCCCATTTGCAATAGTATCTTAAAGAATAAAACACTTAGGAATCAAATCAAACAAGTAGGTTAAAAAATCTATACACTGAAAATTATAAAATATTCATTAAAGAAACTGAAAAAGACACATTTCATGTCCACAGATTGGGACAGTTAATATTGTTAGAATGTTTATACTACCCAAAGCAATTTGCAGATTCAATGCAATCCCTATCAAAATTCCTCCGGCATTTTTCAGAGAAATAGAAAAAATAATCTATAATTTGTATGGAATCACAAGAGAACCTGCATAGCCAAAACGACCATCAGGGACAAGAAAATGTTGGAGGTACTCCAATGCCTCCTCCTTTTTTATAGCTTTCTCCATTTCAAATAAAGGCAGCCTCTTGTTTCCAGTTACTCTTCAGGTCACAGGTCTTGGAGTCACACTTGCTCTTCTTTTGCTTCTGATCTCCAATCTTTCAATAATCACCACAAGTTCTATCTTCAAAATATTTCTAGAACCCACATTCTCACTCACTGCTTCATTGTTGCTTCTATTAAAATATAGAATACTTTCTGGAATACTCATTAGAAAGACTGATGCTAAGCTTCCCTGGTGGCTCAGATGGCAAAGCATCTGCCTGCAATGTGGGAGACCCGGGTTCGATCCCTGGATTGGGAAGATCTCCTGGAAAGACTGATGCTAAAGCTGAAGCTACAATACTTTGGCCACCAGACGTGAAGAGTTGACTCATTAGAAAAGACTCTGATGCTGGGAAAGACTGAAGGCAGGAGGAGAAGGGGACAACAGAGGATGAGATGGTTGGATGGCCTCACTGACTGAATGGACATGAGTTTGAGCAAGCTCCGGGAGATGGTGAAGGACAGGGAAGGCTGGAGTGCTGCAGTCCATGGGGTTGCAAAGAGTTGGACATGCTGAGTGACTGAACAACAACTGTGGTAAGCAAAACACTTCATTAATTTATCATCTACACTGAGAAAACATCAGTCATTTTAAGAGTCTATACACTCTGCCTACTTTTACTCACACTCTCTTAAAACTCCCAACTCCTCATCTCTGTGACTTCACATCCTACCTTTCCCTCTTTCTCACTCTGATCCTAACCTGCTGACAATCATAAGCAGTGGTCCCCCACAGAGTCCCCATTCTTACACTCTCCTCAGCCTAAATATCTCCTCCTAAATGTCTGCATGTCATGCTTCAGGTCTTTACTCTTTGCGTCTCTTTTTCTGTCAGGACTCTTCTGAACACATAATATTGCTGTCTTCCCACTTCCTATTCCCCTCTCTCTCTCTGCACTCTGTTCTTTTGCATTTTTTACTATCTAATATGCAACATAAGCTTATTTATTCAGTTTACAAGGATTTCTGGTCATTTTAGCCCCCCAAATATTGCTAATGCAGAGGTTTTGGCACACCATACATACACAGTAAATATTTGTTGAATAAAATGCCATATTATAAGTACTTGAGAAGAGTAAGGAGATTTTTATTTTTTAAAGTATGGAATCATACCTTGAAAACTTTAGAAAAGACTTGAAAGGATGAGTTGTGTTTGAACTGAGATTAGATGCCAAGTTAGATTTGGCTATGTGGATATGGAGATGATACTCTGCAGATGGAGACAATTGTGCATGCAGAATAAAAGATCTGGGGAAATAAAAGATGCAACAAGAGTGTTGTTACTAACTTGGCTAGAACATACAAGGCATGAAAAGAAGACCAAGGAGGTGATTTGAGGCACGCACGATAAGCCTGTGGCCTATTTGGGTTCTGAAGTGAGCAACGTAGCTCTCCCCTTCCCTGGACAAACAGGCAGATCTTTGCCAGGTCCCATTTACATATGAAATTTATACTAGGAAGTTAAATTCAGAGGGTATAATAACTTTCTCTTCCAAAATTCTGCCAGTGACAGTTTTTCTGCTTATCTTGCTGGCTGAGGGAAAATTAAATCAATAAACCTCATTTCTTACTGAGGTGGACCAAGTAATTTTTCATGCATATTTAGGGAATATAAATTTCAGGTCCAGAATTTTCAAACTATACACTATTTTAAATAAGCCAGCAAAAGAATGATAATTACATAAAAGTAAAATATTTTTCTTAAAGGGATTTTACATATAAATATTTCACTAAAATTGTTCTTCTATACTTAGGACCTGAATCTGAGCTCGGGAAAAGCAATCAGTCAACTAATATAACACGATTTAAGCAGAAATATTCAAGCAGGAAATTCTCATTGGCAACAATCTTGCCTCTATTTCTGCTGGCTCTATAAGCAAAGTTCTAACCTTAACTCTTTAGGACCTCTGAAGGCATTCCCTCTAACAAAGTTATTTTTCCTTTGCACTCATCTTTCTTAGCAGTTACAAACAGAGACCCTAGCTTCCATCACTTCCTGAATTTGATCTCTCTCGCCATATTTTAAAACTCAGAGATAAACACAGATCATAACGAATCATAAAACATAACTACTGTCAAAAGAAAACACTGGTAAGATGACCAAATAAAATGAGAATATCAAATGGCAGGTGCTTCAAAATAGCACTTCAGAACTATATATGTGATTAGCCAAGTCTATTTACTTGTTTACCTGGTATGTGTTGATCTTTCATATACTGTATATCATCCTTTTAGCATTAACTTCTTTTAGCATTAATAGCATGAAAGTGAAAGTTAACATGTTATTCACTCAGTCGTGTCCAACTCTTTGCGATCCTACGGACTGTAGCCCACCAGGTTCCTCTAGCCATGGGATTCTCCAGGTAAGAATACTGGAGCGAGTAGCCATTCCCTTCTCTAGTAGATCTTTCCAACCCAGGAATCAAACCCAGGTCTCCTGCATTGCAGGCAGATTCTTAACCATCTGAGCCACCAGGGAAGCCCAAGTTAATGGTATAAATAATAATTACTATTATAAAAATGAATTCTTTATTAAGCACTTACTACATACCAGGCACTTTATATGAATTATCTGATGTAATCCCCATAATATCCCTCTGAGATAAGATATATTATAACCCTTAATTGACAGGTGAAGGAAAAGAGGCAAAGTGAATGTTAAGTTACTTACTCCAAATCACAAAGCAATTGAAGTGGCAGAACCAGAGTTCAAACAAAAAGGACATCTGATCAAGGCAATCTAATTGCAGATTATGTGATTTTAACTATTCCACAATTCTGCCTGTTTTCTCTAACATATAGTTTCTTGGGTTATTGAGAAGCAAAAGTGGGAGCTAGCATTAATTAAGCATAAATGGCAACCCACTCCAGTACTCTTGCCTGGAAAATCCCATGGACAGAGAAGCCTGGTAGGCTACAGTTCATGGGGTCGCAAAGAGTCAGACACGACTAAGCGACTTCACTTCAAATATGTCAGATAGTGTGCATTATTCCCTCTAACCTTTTAAACAGTCATACGAATTCAATATTCCTCAGAGAAGGGAAGGAAGGCTTAGAGAGGTCACTTTACTTGTCCAAGGTCCTTCCCACTTCAGAGACTAGAGTCCTATTTTCCTTTAAAAGATTAGAATACTGTCATTCAATCATTAATATTTGGAAAGCATAATTCTACAAAATCAAAAAGTTCATTTTATTTACTTAGTGAAACCATGACCAAATTAAGAAAGAGAAAAATAACAACACATTCAATTATCTCTCTCATTTTACAGGTCCAGCTCAAATGCCAGTTCCCTCATGAAGTATTCCTCAATTCCCTGATTCCCAAGCCTAACTTTTATTTCAATTCGATTAGAGAGAAACAAGTCTAACAGATTGGGGAACAGATGTGCAAATTGTTAAACCACCGTTGCTTGCACTGGGAGTCAGATCTATTACACCTGCTATTTGTAAAACCCCTAGCCCTTGAATTCCAGTTCTCATGACACATATTCTGCTTAGTAGCAGCATTATCATTATAGTTGCATTATCCTCTTTCCAGATGAAAAATTAAGAGCAAAGGCTGTTTTATTCTCATTTACTTTTTTATCTTTTAGAGTATTTGGCATAGTGTCTGGCATATTACACATGCTTGATAATGATTATAATTTTGGTTCTAATGAGAAGTTCATTAACTTAATATTTATTTAATAATCTTTAAATGCTTACAATGAGTAACACCACTCTCCCAGTTTAGATAGCTGAGAATAATTTCTAGATAGTTTCAATGAGTTTCTCATGATCTCATGAAAGAAAAGGAAAAAAGCTTCAGAGATGAAGTAACAGAATTGCAAAATATTATGTATGTCATAGCCTGATGAAGGCATGAATTAAGCCCTTGTTCTGGAATTATCTGCACAAAGACCATGGATGAGAACCAGCATAGCCTATTCCAGGGACAGTTGTGTGAATGACAAGTACATGAGAAGGGGGGAAAATAGAAGATGATAACACTTTAGTGCTAGGATAAAGCGTTGGAATTGATTCTAATTACAATAAGAAGCAAGTGGAAGGTTTATACTTTAAAAAGTATTTCGGCCTTGAAAAAGAAGAAAATTCTTCACTTTGTGGATATTGATGAACCTGGAGAACATTATGCTAAGTGAAATAATCCCAACAGAGAGATAAATAGTGATCTTGAAACTGAGCAGGACCCTATGGTCTTTGCCTCTCATGTCTCTCAAGTAAGAAAATGCAGAAAAAAAGGAAACCAGTCAAAAGGGACCAAAGAATGATAACTTAGTCATTAAGCACAGTTAAGGACCTTAAGTTCCTTCTCAAAGGCTATAGATAATATTTGGAGCCATACCCCGTGAGTCGTCTCATAGATACTGAAAACCCTACCAGGTGGAAGAAGTTAACGACACGATGACCAAACGGTAGCCGTGACATAAACACACCGTTCCAAGAATTGGCCTCAAGGAAATGGAAAAAACAACCCTGGAACTGAAGACTAACTGCACTTAAAACAATCAAGATGCTGATCAGACCACCACAGGACCGTTTCAAGATGGCCGTCAGAGCTGATTGTGCTGTTCCCGCATGTAGCCCCCTCCCTCCATCTATAAAAGCTCTTGCCCGAGTCGGGGGAGGAAATCAGCCTTTGGATAAGAGTCCATCCTGCTCCCCCTCCCCCGCCTCAGTTGCTGGCATCCAAATTGAAGCAAACTTTCCCTTCCATCAACCTTGCCTCTTTATTGGCTTCAGAGCCATGAGCAAACAGACCCCACTTTTGGCAACAATCTCACTTATATGTGGAATCTAAAATAGTTAACTTTATAGACGCAGGGGACAGGGGCTGCTTGGGGCAGGGATAGAGGGAAATAGAATCATCAAAGGGAGAAAAGCTTCAGTTATGCAAGAGGAATCAATTCTGGAGATCTAATGTACAGCATGGTGACTATAGTTAACAAGAGTGTATTGTACACTTGAGATTTGATAAGGGGGTAGATCTTAACTATTCTGGAAGGAAGGAAGGAAAGAAAAAGGAAGAAGGAAAAGGAAGGATGAAATGGCAACTGTGTGAGGTGAGGGATGCACGAATTAGCTTGACTGTGGTGATCATTTCACAGTATGTACAATATATCAGATCGTCAAGTTGTAAATCTTAAATATATACTGTACAATTTTGTTGTCATTCAGTCACACTTTCATGTCCGACCCTTTGTGACCCCATGAACTGCAGCATGCCTGGCCTCCCTGGCCTCTATTATAACTCCAGGGATGGTGAGATTCAGACTTGCCAGTGCATTTGCTGTGGGTGTGAGTGAAAAACATGAGATTTAAAGGCAGGTTTATCTTACTCTAGAATTTACAACATTTCCACATCTCCATATCCTCTCCCTTGGGAGCTTTATTAACTTTTATAAAAAGGCAGGGTGAAACTTATAAGCTTAGCGTTTCTTCGAGCTACTTCATTGCTTTACGATTTACCATTTTTATCACTCTAAACACTAACTGCAGGTTTAGAGAAAGTGATTATTCATTTAAAAAATACTAAGAGAATGCGTGGATGCATGGAAATTAACAGGTGTATAAGAGAGAATAAATGATCTCTTTCAGATTTGACCTTGGCAATGTAAGTATACATACAGAGTGAATGAGATTAGTTTAAACAAGACAGAATGTGTGCAACCTGTTTCTTTTTTCTGTACAAATAACTTGCAGCATTCCAGACTTCTCCCTCATTGCAAGTTAATATAACCACAAAATTATTTTGAGTATCATTTCAAGGAGCATTTGTTTGGCATTATTCTTTTCAAAAAATTATAATAAAGATAATGGCTAGAATAAATACTTCAAATATTTTATCTTTGAGAAAGAGTGCACACTTTAAACATTTATTGATGAGGCAATATGAACGTTATTCCAGCAAGTTGTGAATGGTAGAATTCCAGAAACTAGACTCATACTGGTAGAGACATACAAAGTCCATTAATAATGTGAATTTATTAAGCAGGAATTGTGATATTAAAGAGGAACTAGTACCTGGATCCCACTTCCAGAGATTATGATTCAACTGGACTGAGATGAAGCCCATGCATCAGTATTTTAAATTGATTTCCTCAGATAATTGTAATGTACAATCAGGGTTGAAAACAGGGTCTCAAGAGGAAACAAAGTATTGTTTCTTATTTCTCTGTAATATCTTAGAACAGAAACTCATCCCCATTTTTCAAGTTAAAAGAGCTCTCTTACTCTGGCAAAAGTCAGGGAGGAAGGGCCATACATGGAAAAATACAAAGGTTTTATCTGTGTGTGTGTGTGTGTGTGTGTGTGTGTGTGTGTGTGTGTGTATGAGAGAGAGAGACAGAGAGAGATTGCAACTCTGGTTTCTGTTAGGTAGGAAGTTAGGCATGAGCAACCAAGTGTTCCCCAGCTAAAAAATGCTTCAACCTCATCTCTAAATCCCACCCTAGATGTGTCCAAGTGCGGCCCATGAGAGGTCACAGATATGCTTAAAAAAAAAAAAAAAATCCCACAGAGACTTTTCCAACTTCCACAGTCCCTAGGTTCACAGTGACTACAAATTAACCACAGGGACTTCAACTCCAGCAAACGCTCTCTTGATGCACAGCTGTGTCCTCAAGTGATCTTAGGTAGCCAGGAGCCTTAAGGATTCATAAATATTCTATATATACCTGCATCTTATTACTACAAAGTAAATTATGGGAAAGAAATATGCAATACATCCTGTTGTTATGTAACTTGCAACAGTCACTCAAAACTGTCAATCCCCACCCATCTAGATGAATATGTAAAAGTCCTGTCTTGAAATCCCCCTACCTCGTCTTTCTGGTACCAGTGTCTTTCTTGGCCTGGCCCACCTCTCCCTTGAGGTGTTCCTTCTGTTCTTTATTTAATAATCTTGTTTTTGCAACATGTAAGACCTTAGATTCTTATTTATGTCCTTACCAAGAACTGAGGCCCATGAGGAAGGGTCCTCTTTGACTCTCCCTATTTGGTAACAGTTTCTATATTCTTAGAAATAGTATAGTTCAACTGAGTTGGGTGACCTGAAATTTAACTTGAAATAATATCTAATTAAATGAACCCACCCTTTCTAAGCTAGATAAATACCACCTAGTATGGTAATATTTCTGCAAGACTATACTGTCCTTGAATAAATAGGCCTGGGCTATAGAGGAGAAAATGTTATGCTTAGAATACACTATTTTTCAATCCAGTTTGTTTGCAACAGAGGCAGAGAGTTATGGCAAAAGCCATTCTCTAAAGGAATAAATTGAACAGTACTACAGGATTCAAGTGGTGACTACATAGTGAACTAACTATTGAATTTTCAGATGTGTTTTTGCTTTGAAGATATACTGACATCAAGGTCCCTCGAAAGAATATAATCATCCTTTTGAAATCATTTTTAATATATCCTATGTAATACAGATGTGTCATCTTTCCAAGACATTTTATTTCTCTCTGAAGTTTCCACTGAAAATTGACCTGAGCCAGAATCCATGTCAAATTGTAAAAATGATTATATCTGACAGCCTTGGGCATGTTAGAATTTGAAAAAAAATGTGAAAATTGGGTAATTCTACTTTATTAAAAGCATAATATGCATTTTAGGATCTCTAAATGTTCACTCCAACAGTTCTAATTATGCTTCATTATCAACTGAACGGGCTACATGATAGAAACTGATATACTAATGAACAGATTTGTCACTCAGAACTTAATATTTCAAGATTATGAAGATATTTTGAAAAAAGAATATTCCTTTCTTCTACTGGAAAATAAAATTGTAATGGTATCATCAATGCAAACTAAAAGTGCTAGCTTCAATAATACAATAACAAAATCCTGAACCTTTGAACCTGTCCTTACACTGTGCTAATTGTACAGCCTTGATGGTTAGTAGCCTCTGTCTACACACCCCACCAAGACAATCATTAGAAGAAACAACAAGGGAATAACAAAACAAAATCCCACTTCTGCTCATAAGATGATGAACTACATGTAGATTGTAGCTCATGCTTAGATCTACCAAAGGTCTTTCCATACTCAGACTGCTCATATATTGAGAGAATTGATACAGGAAAGACTTTACCAAAAGTCTAGGTTCTTATTCAACTTATCCAAAAGAATTTGGGCAAGAAACACAAAACACCATGGAAAAGTACACATACACACACACACACACACACATTGAGGCTGAGGGGCAAAGACAATAAACAAGCAGTTTATTCATGGCAGAAACAGCTTCCCAGGTAGCTCGGTGGTAAAGAATCTGCCTGCCAATGCAGGAGACACTGGAGACGTGAGTTTGATCCCTGGGTTGGGAAGAGCTCCTGAAGGAAGAAATGGCAACCCACTCCAGTATTCTTGCCTGGAAAATACCATGGGCAGAGAAGCCTGGTGGGCTACAGTCCATAGGGTCACAAAGATTTGAACATGACTGAGCACACAATATATGTATCATGTCTTCTTTACCCATTCATCTTTCATTGGACATTAAATGCTATAATCCAAACACTTTACCATTTTCCCCTTTCCTGATTGAAGAACTTGTGGCTTATTGTTCTGTCTTCATATGGGAAATGTTTTGTCTGGATCTTCTCCAACTGTATTATATGTGTATATCTACTTTAGGGTGCAATGAACATAGTTTTACAAAAGTGCACAGTGGTTTTGTTCAAAGAAACCCCAAATTCTTTTTGAAAAGTTAAAGTGTAAAAGTAAAGATGGTACAGTTTCTGTAATATGTTTTATTAGTCTTGGTTCTAGGGTAAATTACTATCTGGGGTGGCTTTACTGAAATGTTGACATAAATTAATTAAATGTTAAGGTTAAAATTTGCCCAGTGGGGAGACACTGAAAATTTCTATGCAAAGAAATACCTCGCTGAGAATTGAGCTTCCAAAAGATGAACATTTAATCTGCCACCGTAACTGCAGGAAGAAGTGAGAGGCTAAAGAATAATGATAATGGTGATAACAATTAAGAAAATAAGTGTAAATATGATATATTTTTGATGTAGGAGAAAAGAGAGCATTTATATTAACTTTGAGATTTTAAGCCTGGATGACTGGAGGTTTAATAAAGCCACTGAAAGCAATAGGAAACATAAGAGGAGAAAGAAAAACAGGTTCCAAAGGGCACAGAATGTAATTTGATTTGTAACACATTGGTGAGAGAGTTAATTCTTAGGTAAGTTGATAAGAAGTCTGGGGTCCCTGAGGAGGAGAAGGGGGTCTGGGGATCTTGAGGAGGAAAAGAGGACAATTTTTTTTTTTCTACATTCCTCATTCTTAGTCACATAAAACATTTTTTCTCTTTGACCCCAGAGTTGATTATTACACAACAAAACAACTCATCTTAAACTCTGTACTAAGACTAAACTAAACTCTATACATATGTATCCTGTTCAAAGAAATGTTTTTCTTTTTAAGAACCTTCTAACTAATCCTATTATCTCAAAATGTGTATTGTGGGAGAGGGTCTGGTAAGATCTCTCTACTGTTAGTTCTAATCCTGTTATGTTAAAATGTATTTTGTGGGAGTGAGTCAGCTAAAACCTT